ATAATAATGATTTGCACTTTCAAACTTTTTTTCTCTTACCGTAATGTTCGAAAAGTAAACAGAAAATTTCCCTTTTCCTCCTTCAGGAAAATTCCCTGTGTGGGTTGCAACAATATCAGGGTTACCTATTCTGGGCGAACGTACGCTCACTTAATGTAAACAAATCGCTTTTGCCAAGTGCCGGTTATGGAAACATCCCCGAAAAAATGAGTATATTTCTTCAAAAACGCAGAAATAAAATATATTAATTTCGCATATTTAATAAGAAAATGGGTGAATAGTAATAATGACACGAATTTTTTTCTTCCTTTAACTGCACACACAACCAAAAACTATACAATTCATAAATAATTTTGTATTCAAAGTTAATTAATTTACACTCAAAATAATTCTTACCTATACTTCAGCAAAAACGAATTATGCCTATAATTGCGTCTGTGCAAGAAAAAATATAATGTAAAATAATCAAAAAGACAATTAAATAAAAAAAAGACTATCATTTAAGTGAAAAAGCACTAGATTTTAATTTATTTGAATTTCAACTTAAAATTTTGGAACAAATTCACTCGCATACTTACCACTACCCACCCCACCAGGTTCGAACAAAATGGCGCTCGATTCGCATGGCACATTGGAGGCTTTCATGCGCAATGGTCTCTGCGCACCGTCGTACGTTTAGCATTTTTACCATGTTTCAGCTAACGTCCGACGTTACGGTAGACACTTCCCAATCCAAACATTAAAACCTTCGTAATCGATAAACAACGGCCATTTCATTATCGGTGGCAAAAAGCTGCCTATCGATAGTAAAAGGACAGTTTGGGCCATCGGAAAAGCGGCGACCGTCTTATTTTGGTTCTAAGGGTGTTCTACATTGCTATTGTATTATCTGGTAAATATTTTTATTACATCATCATGAAATGAAAATCTTCCTAATTTTAGTTTCTTTCCTTTTATATGACATTCATCTTCATCGTCAGGCAGGATTTGTTTTTAATGCTGTGTATATTTTTTTAGTTCAGTGTCATAGTTTTTGTTTGAATCGTGAAATGAATTACATAGTAAGAAAAATACATCCAAGCAAAGAAGTAAAGGAGGTGAAATAAAAATAAATTACTTTTGCATTAAATGGTAAATAAGAGTAGTTAAACAGCAAAGTAAGGAAATAATTTCTGTAACATTTCAAAATAAGGATTGGTGTTGTTTAAATTAGGCTTAGTGACAAAATTCCGTTTTCATTTAGAATTTAGAGTGGAATCATTTATTATAGTCTTCTGCATAGTTATATAAGTGAAACTTTTGTGATCTGCAAAGGTTCTCTCGCACCCCCCTTATTATGTAAAATCTTCAGACTCCCTTTCTTTTTTCGTATTTGTTGCACTTTAATGATCAGTTATACATATTTATTATTTTTCTATTTCTTAGCTTCCTATAAGTTTTGCTGAATTAAGGTAAAGGACATAAGGACTGTGTGCATTAATAGAATGATGCCTTTGTGGAGGACTTTCTGAGGAAAATTGGCTTGTATTTACGTGGTAATATACCACAAAGACACCCATGCTATCAACTCATTCATCTGGGTTTCAAATGGAGTCAAACTACCAGTGTTCAACAGTCCTGCTTATTTGGCTTTCGCTTAGGATATCTAGCAGCAGTGTATTGCATTGTTATACGATGCTGCAACTCTCACTCTGCTGTTAAAGCACTGCTGGAAATTGGGAGGGGGGGGTTAAATCATCATCTGTGGATTTTAAATCAGCATAAAAAATTGCAGTATTCTAGAAAGAAAATAATCTCAAACCAAAGGTTTGGCCATTTTTATTCAATATTTTTATAGTAAATAAATATAATTTTATCACTGGTGTAAATAGTCTATACTATAACTTGTACATGAAGTCTAGCTGAAAAGCTATCAAATATGTCATGAAATGTTACATCGTATTTTCTGAACTTATATTCCAACTGAAATTTTCTCTCGGAGCTATGTTTAAAAATACCTTTGCATTTTTAATCTCATACTTCCTTGGTTTACTTCTGTAAATGTGCAGCTGAAGGCAGGAGATAACTTCCTGTAGAGTATGTTGTCTGGTACATGTAATGTGCAAGCAGGCTTTAATGTTATAATTAAATTACATGCTTCTTTGGTGCAGAAAAATCAGTGAGATGGTCTTAATGATAGCATTGATGGAAATGCCTCGAACACATACTTAACTTGCATCATAAATTGGTTTATTGTATCGTTTGTATGAAGAACTTGGTATAGGTCTTCTGTGCATAACAAAAATGATTGCTGTTTTCTTTTGGGCATGCAAACATTCATTACTACACCATAGCTGCCGACTCTCGTGGTCTTTCGACACATCTCTGGGATTGCATGTAATAAATTAAATTGTACGTTCATTTCCCCACTTCTAGTGAATTTCAGAATAATTTTTCCTGTTAAATTTTATTTTATCTGAATTGGGCTAATCTTTGAAATATGGTAACAAGTAGTTTGGCGACATTTTGGTAAGGCGATAAAGGTTACTAAGTAGGACTTTAGCGATAATCTGAGAAGTACACAGTTCGAATCACAGATTATTTTGTCTCGGAGAAATGAGAGATCATGAGACATGTCATGTGACATTTTCTGGAAAATTCCGATCGTGATTTTAGCTAATAAGCCCTTAGAAACAATTTCGCTGCTAAAGTGCAGAATCGCCCACTTATTTGTGTTGAGTTGTTGGGTAATAGGGAGAAGTGTTTATGAATAAAAAAATTTAAAAAATCTCCCTTCCCCATTATTATTAATACGTTTAGATAGAGTAGAGAGAAGGGTACTCCTTGTGTTATTGCGAAGTTGTTGTTTCATGTATGGTAACCTAAGTAGTTGAATGTTATGAAAACCCTATTATGATGTAATTGGTTGCATGATTGCGGTAAATTCGTAAGGGCTTGTGTGTGTTGGTTAGGAAGTATATTGCTTGCTTTGTAGTTTAGACAGTAAAATGGCTGAATGTGGTACGATTAGTTTGAAGTTTCTGTACGATTTGGAAAGAAAGAGGAAAAGAGCCTTAGTTGACTGGTGTGTAAATGAAGGTTTACTTAGTAGCCATTATTAAGTGTCCTGTTTGTAGGAAGGAAATGCGTATCGTTGAACATCGAATGATAAATGGCACTACAGAGCATATTTTTTACTCTTGTTTTGTTAATTTATGTGGTGATGCCAGTATGCAGATTCAAGTTCAGATAATTTTAGGAAGTTTTTGAGTGTAATTTATTGAGATTATATATTTTTTTGTTGGCTGCTCCTTTGACTTTTTAAGTGAATATAGTTTGATGCATATATGGACAAAGTCAAGGGAGTGCGCAGTGCCTAGTTTATGCAATTCTCTGATGTTTTTTTAACACTAAGTCGGGCGCGTCTCGAAACTTGTGGCATCGGGCGTGCTGTATCTGTTAGATACATCTTTATTTTACGTGTTTTCTGGTGATCTGTATTACTTTAAATTTTCTATTTTTATTCTTTTTAGGTCCACACTTTTACACCTAGATATTCTTTCTTTCTTTTTTTTTTAATTTTTAATATTTTTATTTATTATTTACAATTACTATTACACAGGTTAAAATGCTGTTTAAAAACACACACAATGAAACATGTTAATACAATTGAAAAAAAATTAAAAAATATGGCAGTTGTTCACAAATAATTAATATTACATAAAAATACATAACATAAAATGACAAAATAAGTTATACTTTAATTCAATTCTAAATTTAAGTTTGGTTTTCATTTGAACATTTCTGACACATCATTACTGCATGTTCCAAACAAAAATATTCAGCACATTTTATGCAGGAATATTGAGTCAATCTACTTTTCTTATTTGCTTGACATGTAGAGCACCTTTTACATTTATTTTGGTTACTGGGAATCTTTGCTTTTTTTCCTTCTTCAGCAGTTGGTCTGTAGGTTTGAAGTTTCATTTGTAAATCCTTCGATAAATTAGGTTTAGTAATGCGCCTAACAACTTCTTCATTGAGTAATTCCTTCACCAGTATTTTCAAATACTCTCTCCTGTTTTGAACAGTATTCTGATTTCCCAAAATACAACTAGTCCGTTTATAGCTGAAATATTTAGCATCGAATAAAATACTATCATCGGCCATCTCCTTGTATTGCAAGTGCAATTATAAGTTCCACACATCTTTGTCCAGAGCATCAACACTGCATTTTGTATCATTATAAAATGTGATTATAACTGTCATTTTTTCATCTCCGGTGTCTGCATCTATAGTATCATCAAAGTGCATACTTGATACAAGCAAAACATTTTTGCCTTTTTTCGGTACGTATGAAACTAAAGTGCAGTTTTTAGAAAAACCAAATAAGCTTGAATGTACTTCTTTTCCCTTAGATTTCACAAAACAGGGAGGTATTTCTTTTTTATTCTTTCTTATTGTTCCAATGTAAGAAAGTTTTTTATCTTTTAGGGCTTTTACAAGATCAATAGAGGTAAACCAATTATCTGCGGTCATATAGTGACCGCTGTTGAAAATTGGTCCCGATAATCGCAGAACAACATCTAGTGGGGGAATTACTGACACTAAATGGACCTTCGGGCTGTTTTCCAGCATATATTTCTAAATTCAATGTGTAAAGCGTTTTAGCATCAACTGCTGTAAAAATTTGAATGCCATATTTATTTGGTTTTGATGGAATGTACTGGCGAAAAGGGCATCTTCCTCTAAAAACCTTTTAATTTCTATTGCAACATTTTGTCCCACGCAATACTTACGCTTACATTTTCCCAAAAATTTCTCTAATAGGTGCTAATTTATCTGTTTTCCTTCTCTCGTCCCCCGTCTATTTATCATCAAATCTACAGCATCTTAGAAGAAATTTAAATCGTTCCAGACTCATTACCATTCTAAACATCTCAATACCCATTCCATCAGTAGACCACAGTTATTCCAAAATTCGTCGATTACTTCGCAAAACGTCAGCTAATAAAAGTAAGCCTATAAATGATTTTATTTCAATGATATCTGTTCGTCTTGCATCTTTTTCTCAACTAAATAGATCAGAAATTGTAGAAATGTATTTGTTAGTGTATTTCACAATTATTTCCATTAATTCATCAGAAAAAAAAAAAAAAAATTCCAAGAGTCGTATATAGTTTTTATACCTTTCGCATTTCCGATTACTCCGGGTAATTTTGTGGTATTCTGCGATCTAACTTTTTTTCTTCCGGGCGATTTAGCCCATTTAGTGCTTTTGTCTTTTCCTTCATAAACATCACTATTGTTAGCATCATCATCAAGTTCTGAGTCACTATAATCACTCAGAATACAGACACATTCAGAATCCACTTCAAAATGTTTCTAAAATATCCACTTCTTCATCATCACTTTCATCAAATTCTTCAGCATTTAATTCCTCATTTCCATCACTAAACAGAATATTATGGACTAATTCAAAGTCTTTTTGATTATTCAAATCTGAAAAGCGTTGAGCACTCATCATAGGAAAAATAAATAAAAAAGCTATAAGAAATTTCGATACTTACAAAAATTTTTCAGGAGACAAACGTTATCAGCCGCGTGCATCTGACAGATACAAATTTTCAAATAAGCTTAAAAACAGGAAATACTCCTACACTGAACTGGTTGTTACTGCATTTCAAAGGAGGGGGTGGCCAGATGGACAGATACTGATAAGGTCAAGGTCATGAGAATGAGTTTAAAGGGGACAAAAACAGAGATTTTGACATGCCTGTATCTGTCAGATCAACGTGCCCGATAGAGTGTTAAGTAAAACGGTTAGTACAGTCCTTAAAAGTCCTTAGATTTTTTGGAATCGTTGGTTCTTAAAAGTCCTTAATTTTCGCCAAAATCGGTAGAAGGTCCTTAATTTTAATCATCTGAAATTTCTGTCTGTTTTTACGACTGCCATTTCGAATGTGAATTAGCATTTTGGAGGAATATTTTTGGCGATTCACTGACATATATGGTTATCTTGAATGGGTTCATGGTTTATAATTTTTTTCTATTTCTAATATAAATGATGGAATACTCGAATTTCTAAGCGAGAAGTGAAACATAAGCATTTCGAAATTCATTTTTTCTAATAAAGAGCTCTTAAACAATTTTTCGCTTTGGGGATGGGAATTTTTTTATTAAACAGTTCTAACTTCGGCGACTTTTCAACAGTTTGGCGATATTACGATCAGCTTCTATCGAAAAATTTTAATTCCGAGATCTGAAAATTTTTCGAACGATTTTTTTTTTTAACATCGTAACATTGATAAATTTCAATAAAAGGTTGATCTTTACAATATGGTAACTGGTAGTTTGGCGACATTTTGGAGGCGATAAAGGTTACTACCTGGGACTTGGGTAATAACGTGAGCAGTACTCAGTTCCGATTACGCATTATTTTGTGTGAGGGAAATGAGAGATCATGGGATATGTCATGTGATATTAATGGACGAATTACGGTTCTTTAATCGGGGAGTGAGTGAGTGAGAGATTATGACGCAAAACCAAAGTTGATTATAGTACGCCAAACGCGAGATGGTCTTTAATCGGAAAAGGGGGGAAATCGGGAAAAAATCTGGAAATTTTGTATTTGGCTTTATTCTGTGTTGTGTGAAACAGTGTTCGTGAATTTTTGGATCCCATGGCCGTAACTAAAGTGAATTCGAAATGGGTATTTATGTATGTATTAATTTAATGTATGTGCTCATTTATATTTTAAGTAGTGTTTTTGAATTTAATTATATTTTAATTAAATGATAGTTATTTTTGTGAATTTTATGTTTGTAGGAATTTGGTATACGTTTTAGTTGAAGTAAATGTGCATGGAAATAATTTAAATATCTGACACTAACTATTTGTAATGGTTGCGGTATGAATTCGTTGGTGACGTGTATAATGTAATACATGATTTAGAGGTAAAAGTTTTTGGATATTTTATTTATTTTATATGTGGAAATGTTCATATTTGGAAAGGGTAAATACTTTTTCGCGATCAGGTAATTTCATATATGTTCTTTTTACCGGGTTTAAAGATTGAGAAAATTGTCATGTATTTTCGTGAAATTTTTGTAATTTATGAGAAAAAAGCAGTGTACATGGATATAGTGAAGAGTGTGCTCAATGCCATTTTTGTGCAATTCTGGGATTTTTTTTTAAGTAAAAATAAGTCGGCATGTACATGGTTTATGTGTATGTGTTATTTTGAAAAACGCGTAAGGAGTATGGTATTGTGCACTTTTTCCCAATTTTGCAGTGAATATTTGTCATGATTAAGCAGTTTTGTTAGATAAAATTTCTAGCATAAGTGTAATTCAGCTAGTAGATTGTTGGAAGAAGTGTTCAGTAGATAAAAAGAAAAGAAACATGTCTTTACTTCGTGAAGACAAAATGGCGGCGGGGAAAAAAAATAGAGGGTTGCTGTATTAGAGTTGGTCGCCAAAAAAACGCCAAGTTACCATAATGTAAAGATCAACCCATTAAAATAATGGTAATATATTAAAATTATATTTAAAAATAAGATTAAAATAAAACATTATTATTTTTTTTGCTGTCATTATAAAGTTTCATTTTGGCAACTTATACAATATTTTTAATCTGAAAAATAAGGTATAATGCTAGAAAGCACAGTTTACGAAACAGCTCTTAGCAAAAGCAAAATTAGCTATGTAATTAATTAAAAATGTCTTCTTTTTAATTTTTCATAGTAAAGAGTTTATCCCATGTGATTGTCTCAGAACATTCAAAATTCTCAGAATATGCACCAGTTTTCTCTGTAAAATTAATTTTACACGTTTTCCTTTTTTTTTTTTTTTTTTTCAAAATATTTCTGGCTTTTGCTATTGCAGAATTGGTAGGGATAATTTTTCTTTAGGATTTTAGACATTGCAGCTTGGAAAGTTTGGAAGGATTTGAAAGCAAGATTTATAGACCCACGATTCTAGAATATTCGAGAAATATGTGACAAAATGAAAAATGTCTCCATGGTATCAACACATAATGGATGTATTTTACAGAAAGTTTGCAATGAATTTCTTACTTTTTTGAGAATGTCTGGAAGAACAATAAAAACATAATATTTGAATGTTTTACTTCTGATACTGGAATCTTAACATGTTTATCTTCCCTTTATTTTATCTGCATTTCATTAGACACAAGCACGAAAAATATCAAAAAGTTGTCTAATCTTATCACATGGACAGGCATAATAGAAAGGAATTTGTTCACTAATAAAGAAATTGAAAACTTACAATTTAAAAGATTCATCTAATATGTCTTAATGCATCATACACAGAGCTGGTATACATTTTCCCACCTGATGCAATCTCTGTGGATCCTAAATTCTGCTGCCTAGTGCCCTTCTAATTTCTGCTTTCAGTGTCTGCTCTAAATTCTAAAAGTTTTGCCATTTCTAGATTTTGTTGTTCGGTGTGTCAATAAATTCTAAAAATTCTGCCACATCAGCTCTGTAACCTGCCTTTACCATATATATTTCATATTTCTTCTGAATGTTCATATTACTAAAGAAATAAAATTAGCCGCTTTTTGTATAAATTCTAAATGCATTTAGAGTTTTTTAGAATAACAGAAATCCTTAATTAAATCCAAAAATTCTAAAATGAAAAGGAAACGTGTTGAAGAAAGAAACTGAATATATAAAGAAAATTATTCTTCAAAAATATGTGCAGTTATTATTATGTAAATTACCCAATTGTTTATGATTTGAGCCTTTACTATAATTTCCCATTTCAATTTTCTCATACGATAGAGTTACTGAGCCAAATTGTATAATCTTTGACCGCTAGTCCACATTTTTAGTTTGAATTAGACTGTTCTTGTTTTAATTACGTTACCGTGAGCTGTAATTGATTTTGTTAGCATCAGAAAATGCCTTTATGGTCTAAGTTCCTTTTAAATAAGAAGCTTATTTAAACTTTTGTCTGATATTGTAAATACTCTCAGACATAGTGATAATATGCTTCAGGTCTGTCGGGGGGGGGGGTGGACTCTTAAACTTTTAGAAGATCAAGTAAACCCTCATAGGTACATTGTGGAGAAGTTGGCAAGTTAGAACATAAAGTACGCAGAAACGAGCGAGAGCGTTGGTTTGCATATTGAGACAAATCTTTAATTGTTAGAAAAGGTGCTTAAAGAGAAGGAAATCGATATAAAGTAGCCAAAATGGGAAAGCTTCAAGTTAAAATGACAAATAAATATTTTTTTAGTGTTGTTGTTACAAGACATAAATGTTTTGTAGCTTTTAATGTGTAATTATCCTAATGTCATGAATTACATGTATTTTAAACTGTGAAATGTATTAAATTCTGTGAAGTTTATTTTATTCAAACTTATTAATAATTATGTTAATTCATGTTTATTAATAATGCATACTACTTAGGGATCTGTTTCATTTTTAGGATTATATTACAAAAGTGAAATTAAGGCATGGATAATATTAATTGAATTTTTTTGTTCAGTTCCCATTTGCTCATAGGTCCTTAATTTTTTCATTAATGGTCCTTAAAAGTACTTAATTTCCGTGTGCAAAAATGTGTACGAACCCTGTAAAAATATGTCGATGTGTACATAGTTAAAGTCAA